AACGGTTAGAATTTGAAAATTATCGATCGCACCCAGAATGCATTACGTAAAAGTTGAAAGCGATTGTCTCGGATTTTGGCGTGCTCAAACGGCGCGAGAAATATCGCATCGATTGAATAAAAAATCTCGGCAGATTTTGAAATTTCAGCCAAAAAAGGACGATAGCCTCTGTACATGAGCCCAAATCTTCATTCTCGACCAAAAAATTGTCCACGTCTAGAAAAATAAAACCAGGATTTTTTTAAAGAAAAAAAACCGCGCATTCGATAGGTACAGTAATCAAAGCTTTATATCGAACGCTGAAGGGGTTTCCCAAGGAGAATCCTGTCTCCAATTTTCTGAATATTGGAATTTTTTTTTTGTAAATATTGCTTTTTCAAGCTCATACAAAAAGACTAAATTTCTTCCTTACTCTGGTTAAAAAGTCAAAATCTGCCGCGATTTTCAACTTAACTGATACGATATATCGGACGCCAGGTGGACCACGCCAGAACTCGGAATGTGAATCGTGTCTTAAGTGCCGGACCATCGTACTTCCAGAAAGGAGTAAGACTAGGTGCTGCAGCTGGTGGTCAAAGCAAAGCGTACAATTGCGGGGAAAATTGCGGGAAATTTGACAGAGAGGGAGAACGAAGACCCGGAGTAATAAATTAAGTGAGCAGAGCCAGGAGAGATTGGATTAGGATTCTTCAGCGGTTGTCAGCGAGAGGCGATGAGCGAAGCGGTGTGAGAACACAGGTACCTAAGCATGTAGTTGTTGCATTTTGTCCTGTCTCCCGTCTACCTGCCAAACAAAACAAAGGTAACCAATAAAGACCCAAGATCAGACTTCGACCAGTGATGAGGCACGGATCATCGACCATCATTATTTCCCCGTTAGGACGTATTTCTGCTAAACGGAACTGTAGGCGTGTGGGAGAGACGGAGTGTGCTCTAGAAAACTGCAAAAAGACGACGTAATGATCGTGATTTCCCTTTGGAGAAATGAAAATGCGGGATTTTTACAATCTACCAAACCTAGCCATAAAAATGTACCAAGGACGTTGTGGACACGGCTCATGAGTTATTAAAGCGGCCCACGAGAGAGCGCGACGGCGACTTCGTCACCACTGACGTCCCTACCCAGATAAGACATAATATTTTTACAATATTGGGCAAATATTGTCAGTACTGTCGCAATATTTACACAATACTGACAATATTTTGATAATATTATAATCAAAATTATTTTTTTAGAAAATATTTAAGGAATCATCATTTAGTATTTTTAAAAATAATATGTTTACCCAAAACATCATAAAAATATTTTCAAAATATTTGTATTTCAATACTGTAAAAATTTATATCGTGAGAGTATTTTTAAAATATCAGTACATATAATATTTATATTCAAAATATTTATTATATATTTTAAAAACATTTTAAAAGACGGTAATGCATTGGTAAGTATTTTCAAAATATTTTGAAAATATTTTAAACAATAATACTGCTATTCAAAATATTTTTGAAATATTTTCAATATCCTAATCGGTATAAGTCATCATACTAAATGCCTGCCCATAACGAAAAGTATTAAACATAATAAGGCTTAGATTTAAGACGTAGCTCAAATGTGTTCTTTCTGAACAATTATCCATTATTTTCAACCTTATTATTCATAAAGGTTATTGCAGTTGTTGTCAAATTTAATATAATATAATATAATATATATTTTTTTGCCTCCCAAGAAATTGTTGAATTTCCACCTCCTTGAGGTCATTTTCAATGTATTTGCGCGTGATCTCAGTTTATTTCTTTTTTTGTTTCGTTTGTAGTTCATGTACTGTTGTGAATATTATCATTGAATGAGAATGCTATCATTCATTCACATCTGGTTGTTTATTTTTTATTTTTCAAATTTCAAATGAAACATTTAAATTCAACTGAAGAAGAAATTATTGATCTCGTGTGCTTATTGGTCTCCTGTAGAACTTGCACTTAGTAGCTGTGCAGCTGTGAGATTATGGCAATCGCACCTGCATAGTCTTTATGAGGAAGACATCAAACTGCAATCAAATGCAAAATGCATCTCAGAATGTCGATGAAAAATTTAAAGAGAAAAAAATAAATAAAATAATAGAATGGTGGAAATAATAGAATAACAGAGACAAAAGAAGAGAAATAAAATGAAGTAAATCAAATTAATGATAAAATGAAGTCAAAGACTAAACTGAAGTAAAACATTAGAGGGAGCAAGGAGATGAAGTAAAAAAACTGAGATGAAGAAAAAAATAAAGTATAAGGGAAAAAACTAAATGAGGTTAAAGAATAGAATGAATTTAAAGAATTAACTGAAGTCAAAAAAATTATGATGAAGTATTAAAAAAAATTACAGTAAAACAAAACAAAATAAAGGAATAAGAAGTAAATAATTAAAGAAAAAAAATGAAGTGCTTGAAAAAAAAAAAATAGAGTGAAGAAAGAAATAGAGTCAGCAAGGAAATAAAACAAAGTAAAACGATAAAATAAATTTAAAAAATATACCTAGTAAAGTAAAAATTAAAATAAATACACGGACAAATCCAGGCAGATGGAAAATATCCTAGTTGCCCGTCCAACTCGACGTTAAATACCGGTTTTAAGTCACTAAAATACATCGTCTAGCAAAGCTCAATCGGTAGGGTCGTCGGTTAGTATTAGGTAGGTCCCGGGTTCAATCCCCAAGGTGGATGAAAAATTTCTAATCTGCAGAATCGGTTCAATAACATCCCAGTGGTTTCATTATTTTTATTTTTCATGGTTTCTAAAATTATTTCCACAATTAACCCTTTTCCACCATCCCCTAGCTGCGAACCCCTAAATTGATTCAATATTGGTGTAGTATTGTCTCAATATTGATATCCAAATACTTTCCCTTTGAAGTACTGGCACAGTATTTATGCCAAAAGGAAAGATGGTGTACGATTTTAACATTGGCTCAATATTTAACCAATATTGGCCCAATGTTTGCATAAATACCAAAACAATATTGTTTAAATATTGGCTAAATATTCCTGTCTTATCTGGGTAGCTTTCGAATTTCGATTTTTTCTTCGACTAACGTGCACATCCCTTCTTTCCCATCTGTCTCTGGTTTCTTTTAGCAGAAATACGTCCATATGAAGCTACAGTAAAAAATCGATTGTCCAGGTTTTCGAACACCCTAGATAATCGATCTTTTACTATTGGTTTAAAGGGCGCAGATCAATCGATTCATCGCAAAGCAAGCCACGGCACTTCGTGAGTCTTTAGCGCTGTCTCCACTTGTCAAAATGGAAGCTCATAATGGCTCAAAGTCAGGAATTGATGCGATCGATAAGTGCTGCATTTCAAAATAGAGCGGCGCGACTCTTTTTTGATCAACCATCGCGATCAGATATCGCAATCGCATTCTGGCATTCCTCAGAGTTCGTGCGTGCAGTCCGGTGAAGTAATGGGTGAAATGTGACCGTAAGTATTTGTTAAACTAATGCCGGCCACAATGACAATCATCAAAACAAACGAGACATCCTTCATTTATTTAGGTTTGAGGTTAAGCCGGCCAGGTTGGCCTAGCGGTGCCGTGCTAAAGAAAAACGCCGTATGAACCCTCAGACGTTGCCAAACATCCGTTGATAAAACACAAATTTCCTGATAAAATTATGGAAAGTTTCCCTCTAATTTTTCAGATAATTTTGTTTGCAGTTTCACCTAAAGTTCCTGAAATTTTCAAGGAAAAACATTCATAACTTTCCTCAAAAATAAACATTTTATCGAAGGAAATTTGGCAACTCTCGAATGTTCATACGGCGTTTTTCCTTAGCACGGCAGAATAGGTCCCGGGTTGGAATCCCGGTGGCGGCAGTTTACGGAACTGACGAGTGGGTCTGCAGAAACAGATTCTACTCGGCCTTAATCCCTGAAAATTTGAAAGCTGGAGCATGGATGTGCCAACAGCCCTTTGATGTCTGCGGACAATAAAACATAATAGTCTCTACTTTAAACTCATGTCTATAGATGGCTGTAGATTCCTAAAAAAAAGTCCTACATTCTTGATTATTATTATTCTTTTGAAATTCTATGATAATTGTGATTATTCAGGAGATCAGAAGGAAATACAGATATATGTATGGGCACTTACGTATGCAGAATGCTTAATGTCAGCATTCGGCCGCACAGTGTGGGCAGAGACGGAGCATGTTTCAACGAGCTTTCAGAGGCTGCGTATATGCAACTTGCAGCAATCAGCCTAGAATTCGTCAAGAACTATCGAAATTTGACTCATGGTACTATTTTTTCAAAATTAATTAAGGATCCACTGTTTTATGGCACCCACTGCGGAAATGAGGAGTATTATTAAACTGCATTGTGAAATCTCATTCAATAAAGTTTGATGAAATTTTGCATCGCTGTGTGTAAGGCATTTCGGTGAAGGGCCGTCGTCGGTGTGATGGCGTTCAAGTGAGAATAATGTTTGACAAGCTGAGAGTCACTCAAGCAGAGCCGCGAAAATTGGGGTAAAAGAATGCGGGGAGGGAGGGGGGAGGGAAGACGGGGAAAAAGAAAGGCCGCTGCCAACACCCACACCAGTGACGAGAACCTTTGCCTTTCTAACTCAGATAAAATCTCCAGAGACACGGTTATTTAAAGAAGCCCCGGGTTTATCTCACCGATCTCCAGAGACATTTAACAGCTACAGGAGCGAACACCTTTGACGGTTTCCGTCCGTGGATTCTCCGCTTATTTTTAAAAGAAAAAATAAAATAATGTAAGAGGCAATAGACAGACCGAGACTGATATTGCTCATGAGGCGTGAGCGTATCACACCACAACATTTTGTCTATAGTTTTTAAAGCTACATTCAGAGGGTTATGTGTAAGGAAAATACTGTCCCCTGCTCCCTTTGGTACGCCTCTGGCTGGAACTAAGCGTAACCAGTCATGCAAATTTAGGAGGTCTCGGAACTTATATGTAGTGTAGATGATGTTTACTGGTTGTTTCAGATGACTACCGGTACGAAGTGGCAGAGTGGCCAGGTGTGTTCCCTGCGCTGTTCAACGTGGCCGCGCGGGCGAGTATTTGGACGAACGCGACGTGCGGGGAGCACGGGGCTGAGAGCTACTGCAAGATGGAGGCGCGAGGCCAGACGCAATGCGCCCTCTGCGACGCCCGGAGCCCGGACCCGGGCAAGCGCCACCCGATCAAGAACGTCCTGGACGCCAAGCCCACCTGGTGGCAGAGCCCCACCCTCCAGGAGGGCCCCCAGTACGAGGCTGTCACCATCACCCTCGATTTCAAACAGGTACTACCACCACGCCCACAGACTAATCAAAATTTCCTCCTAGGCAAAGTCGGCAAACCCAAGTCAGTCCGTTCGCAAAGTTGAGAGGGATGATCTTTGCTGCACGCCGGAGAGGACTGTCCCTTTTGCTAGAAGATTCCCCTCATTTGTTTGCTCCACTTTGCTGCTCCCCATATGCATAACCGATTGAAGTGGTCTTATGNGGGGGGGGGGGGGGGGGGGCAGCTATGCAGCGGAGTAGCACAAATCGGGGTAACGTGGAAACAAATCTAAAATGAGCGAACAGCCACCTTCCTAGAAGCCAGTGACTTTTCATTCCTAACTCATTTTTTTATTCTGAATTTGTCAATTTATATCAACAGCAGCCGGTCAGATTTATTTTCGGCCAAGATTGCAAAGTTCATTTTCAATAATAATTGACCTGCGCTGCGGCAGGGAAGTTCAGGAGGTCTGATTTCAATCCTCGACCAGAAAACTTTCCAAAAAATCGTCAGTTTTTGTGATATTCAGGAATTTTCTATCTTCGTCCACCTCCCGATGAAATACCGCTGGCCACGCTAATATCGCCAACATATGCTTCCAGGAGGCTCGTGGCATCTGGTGTCCCTAGGCTAATTCTCAAGGCAGGTATTCCTAAGAATTGTTTAGAACTCGAGACTTGGTAAACAATCGGTTCAAAAAAGTTGACTCAGAACTGAAGAGAAATTCAATATTGGATCAGGAAGGGTTTAAGAATTTGTCGAGGAATAAATTGATGCTATGACGGAGGTAGTGCTATTGGTGCACAACAACTACAGATAAAGAGGTGGATCCAGGGCCGGATTAAGGGGGTGGGCACATGGGCCGCGGCCCATGGCGGCAAATTTAGGGGGCGCAAATTTTGCAATTTTTTTAAATGTAGCTATAAAGAAAAATCGGATTCAGAAAAAAAAATTACGAACGAGAAAAGGTGACAAAATCTCTCATTTCCTGAGAGTATATCTCTAATTTTGTCGTCCTTCTGTGATACAATAGACAGCACCTTTAATTAGTCGAGTCAAGACTAAGAGAGAAACCAAACAAGGAATTTGGCCTGGAACGGCGGGGCGCAGAGAGCAATAATGACGAGAACGTGAAATGAGAAGGAGAAACCCCCGGCGCGGCGGTCGGCATGTAACACATATCAGCGCCTACAAGACTGCATGAATACTTCACGCATTGCGCCAAAGACAGTGCGGTCGCTGCAGTCAGCAGCGGGCAGCGTGAAATGCATAGGGCCTGCAAGTCTGCATGAATACTTCACGCATTGCGTTAAACACAGTGCGTGCAGCAGCGGTCGGCCCGAAACGCATAGCGCATGTAAAACTGTAGGAATACTTATCACGCATTGCGCCGAACACAGTGCGGTCAGCGCGGCGCGGCGGCGGAAGTTAAAATTACTACACCACATTTATGTTTGTTCTTTCATAATGTTTTGGCTCATTTTTTACAAATGGAGGGCCTTGTCCATGCAGAGATAGGTTTACGGAACTTAACTTTCGCGCCAAGTTCCGTGAACTTTTGCCAGTAGTGTTGACAGGGCTTTCGCAAAAAATGTGACCAACACGAGTAAACGCGTCTTATACGCCTCTCCCCCTCCGGCTCGTTCACCTGATGGTTTTTATTGATGTTTCAAAACGAATGAGAAGGGGGCGGCAAAATGCAGGCGGCCCATGGGCGGCAAGTAAGTAAATCCGGCCCTGGGTGAATCAGGGGTTCTGTGCAAAGATTTGCAAGAGGAGGAATGTGCTGAAAGTATAGTGACCCACATCTATCAGCCGATCGGCAACGGCTGTGCCTGTACTCGGTTCGGACTCGTCCCCACCCCTCGCACCCCTGGAGCCCATCATGGATTCATGGAGCTCAGTAGCTGGCTGTATGCTGTGTGATCTCTATGAGATCCAGGATGCCTTTAAAACCAGCGTTGCCATTTCGAGCACCGCATAAGGACAGCTTTCATGCGGCTCGTAATATTCGTAAAACTGGAGTTTGGCTACCACTCTGGTGACACACCCGTGAGAGAGGTCTGCACCTCCCTAGAAAATCACATAACGCTCAGTTTGACATCCTCCCCATGCAGAAGCATTTCGTGATGAATATTGAATGGAAAAATGGTCATCTCGCGTTGATTTTTCTCCTAGATTTTCGTGATTGTGATTTTCGCTGATTTTTTATCCTCGTCTTGCCGCGAGAACATTCGCCGCCAGTGACCACGGCCTACGAAACGTGAACGCGTGCTTGGGCCGACAGTGGCGGACTCCGGATTGGCATATGGATACGCGGTGACCTAGGTTATTTATACGCACGCGGGAGAGTTCTCCCGCACAAAAGTCGCCGAATCACGACGACGCGACGTCGCGACGTCCTCTCGCTCTCCGTCGCGGTGCGGCGCGACGGCACCTCCGTGTCGTCCCTCCACCACGGTCTCCCCTCCCCCCTCATCCTCTTCCCCCTATCCCCTACCCACCCTCCCGACCGCCCACCGACTCGTCCCTGCATCGTGCACCGTTAGCGTCGCTGCCGGTCCAGATTGTAGTCGTGGCAATTCGCAGGCTCAGAATCTACAGTAAAAATAAAAATAAGAAGAAGAGGGGGAGGAGGAAGAAGATTAATGAGATAAGAAAAGACGAAGAAGAAAACGACGAATAAAAAATTTAGTAGAAGATTTTGATGAGAAGGAAGAATCAGGTGAAGAATAACAAAAATATTAAGGAGAAAAGTTGGTGTTCTCCACCAATTTTAAGCCAACTACTTGAATTAGTTCAGTTCAGGGTCAAAATTGGTATATATTATCAACCAATTGAATCAAATCAAAAAGAGTATTCTTCATTTCAGCATGGGCCCTGCGACCCATGATGATACTTGCATGACAGCATCCATGGCAAAATGGAGATACTTCCTTTTTATCAAAATACGCTCAATGGAGAATTCGCAGGATGAAATTTGTTTCGTTCATCTCGGAGTCCATTTTGTGCTGTAACACATGAGCGGCATTATCTGTAGAACATGATTTATGTGAAAAATGTGTACATAAAAGGAATCTAAAGCAAGTATTCTTTTGTAAATCTGATTTAGAGACGAAATAATCGATCCAGGCATGGGAGCGAGTAACCTCTCTCCGTTATTTCGCAAAGGAAAATGTCTTAAGGTATTTCAAATCTGACCACGTCTTGTGATCCGCTGCCTCTCCCCTGTCCTCGTAAATTGACCCGTGACCCCCACCTTAACGGGACCCCGTATCGCTTATTGAAACAACGCAAAATATGGTTGCCAATATAATACTGAACTGGTGCAGTGGCACTCATCTAAAAACTTACCCAATATAATACCTTCAGGTTTTTTTAAGGTACGTTAGTTGTGACTGCCTCGTTGGTATAAGTCTTTTCGCGTGAGTCAGGGATGTGATGATCTGCGTATGAGCGTATCTCTGCAGGGATTTCTCCAAAGAACAGGAAAGTTGGCCCTTGGATCTTGACGCACGGATCTTGAGCCTGGAGCTAGCTATGGTCCCTGGAAAACATGTAAACAGAGTAGCGGCAACGGCGGCCCTGCACACCTCCTCTTCCCGGAGTAATTAAATGTTAACCCAATGCGTTTGAGCTGCGGAGCTGGGGGAAACGAGGGGGGGGGGTGCGTGGCTCAGCGGTCACAGACTCTAGAGGATGCGGATCGGGGGGAGGGGGGTGCCGGTCTTTTGGACGAAGTGCAACTCAGGGTCAATGCCGCATGCCGCGGGGCCCGGCGGCCCCCGTTGCCGCCTCTCTCACACGCTCCACCCCCTCGGCCCAGCGAGCTGATCATATAAATGGATAGACAAAGCTATAGTCATGCGAGGCACAGGGAAAATAGAGCGATGCCATCGGTTCAAACGGATATGGTTTTTACAGTCTGAAGGAGAAAATTATGGACTACAGGATATCTAGTGGGTTGCTACTGTAGTTAATACGTTACTTACTTCTTACGTTCACTGCAAACGTCCCTTTCAACAATAGGATCACTCCATTCGTCCTTTATCCTCTTTGTCTATAGTTTTGTCAAATAATTTCAATAATCAGCTTTTATTGTCCGAGGAGGAAGGTATGTACCTTGGACGGAATTGCTTGTAGGGCCTATTTAGTTATGTTGCCTCGGAAAGTCGGATTTTCAGTTCCAAGGAAAACTCTCCTTCATGTCCATGCATGCATGGATACCTACCGGGGGTCTAGCCCTCGGTAGAAGGGTATTCCCTTCCTCCAGAAAATATGTAACCGTTTATAGCCGCTCAATACTATATCGGTGGCCAAAATGGCAGACCACATACATATTTCCGTTTGCGACGTTGAAGACATTTTGAGATGCGTCTTTAATTTTTTCTGAAGAAAATTAGTCAGCGTAGGTAATTTGTGAAAAAAACTTTTATGATTTTTCTTCTCTGACAGCAAAAAATTCTGTATACCTTTCAAGCCACAAGGTTCGGGTTATTTTTCCTCGAAAAAATGAAATAGGAGCGCAACTTTTGAAACACCGCAATGGAAGTACGTGGTTTCACACTTTTGCAGCTGATATTAGTCTCCTCGTTTAGACCAAAAGGGCCATTGCCTGGGCCCCCTCTTGCAAAAACTTGTGGTAAGGCGCATATTATAGCACTCTTCCAAATGGTAAGTTTCAAGGGGTCTAGTCCATGCCAAATAGAGGACGTGTACCTAAAGTTGCATTATAATCCGCGAGTGGCGTGCGTTGTAGGTACATATCAGATGAGAATAGATCACCAATTGGTCATCAAAATCAAACCATGTCATTCGATGAGGAACTGACCCGTTGCTGTCTCCACAGAAATGTCCGGTTCACTTTAACGCACTAGCTGTATTTGTCAATTCATCAAAGCAAAACAGCACACAATAAATTTATTATTATTCACAGTGAATGTGAATTTACATTAGGGTAGGTGGGGGTAAAAGGCCGCACGGGGAAAAAGGCCGCACCCGACTTTTTTCCCGAAATTTTTTTAGGTTGGCACCGGGACCGTGTCAGTTATGTTGGTAGTGGTGGTGCTGTTGTGTTGACG